CAAAATTTAGCTGAACATCTCTTTGACGTATATTACTCCAAAAAGAAGGTGCTCTGCTGAATGGCCCGTGTAGTCAGAGGGGTTGATGTGCCATCATTGCTCACTGATTGAGACTCTCAGAGCGAGAGGATCTGAGTCAATAGACTCACGGCTCACTCACAGATTAGACATCTAATCAAATTCAGCCCCGTGTGTTTATCGCTCGCTGTCGTTGGCTATGTGGATGTCAGTGTGGAACGCTCCACAGCTGTGACAAAACTAGGACACATCACATAATGCACATACGCTCATGAACCCAGACTTTTTTAATGCAAAGTGATGTTCTATGTGTATCATGAGATATAGGTTTTATAAGGTTTTCCTAGTTGTTGTTGATAAAAACTGATTTAGTTTTAAGTCCCTATAACTTAGAATTTGACTTTGAGAAAATATGTGTCTTATATGCAAATGATGGCAAAGAACAACTATTCACACAATGATTGCAATCGTAATCGTAATATAAAGCTACTTTAACTAACACAATGAAGATTAACACACACACAAACAAATTCAAACAGCTGACGGCATTGTCAGACACTGCAACACGTCTGAAACTTAATACACATCTTCTTTAATCGTAAAAGCGTATAACCAGCCAGTGCTAAACGCTTCCAGCTAATTTCTAATTTGTTCGTAATTGCGGTGAAAGGGTCAATCGAAATCTGTTCCCCAGCTGTGCAGCCCTCTCACTCACCCCTAGGCCCAGAGAGAACGAAAGAGAGAGAGAAATGCTCGGGGGGAGATGGACCCCACAAACGTACCCCCGAGCTGCCTGAGCATCACCAAGTGGAGAAAACTGGTATTTACATTGGTTACATGCATTCTTTATGCTTTAATCACAGTGAATTCCTTTTTGATTATTGCATCCCGCCAAATTGCTATATATTTGTTTTTCTTTCCATCACAAGAGAGTGAAAATTAGTCATGGCCTCATTGTAACTGATCTCCTTTGGACGCCTTGATCAATGCACCGGTCACATATATCTCCTCAGCTGAGCTCTACATAAGAGTCAGCGCTGTGTGTGTGAAGTGCTGCCCTTGCACTGTGGCGTCTGTGTGTGTTTTATTAGTATTGCACTTGTGCATGTTTGCTGTAGGTTTAGCCCCGACTGCACCTGCCAGACCTGCATACACACACTACAAATTATAGCACTCATTCCTTTCTCTCGCTCACACTCTCACCGCTCTGTTCTAAAAAGCTTACAGTCATTTCTGAAATCGTTAGTGGCCTATACAGCTGAAATCATTACCTGTATGTTTCTAATGGGGTCATTACCGAGGTGGCCCTGCAGCCGGCCTCTAATCGCTAGCATGTTATGGGGCAGCTGCTTCTAAAACACTTGTTTCTCTGTGCTACATTCCGGCATGCAGGCGTCAACTGAGAAAGAACAGAGCAAGACCCTATAAATCAGGTGTGTTTTGTGAAACGGTGAGTGTTTTAGTGTATTTACGAATGCGGAAATGTTTTTAACTTGCACTTTTTTTTGTGGGGCCAAGTGCAATTCCTGTATTGTTCAATGTCATCGTTGCATATTTGGTTAGATTTGCAACATTTAAAAATAGAATGTATCGCGCCATTGCACGCAAGGGATTTTGGGATGGTTTGGAGGCATTTTTTTTTTTACCTAAAGCTTGGGGGTCTGGACTTCA